TTGCTTTCTGCTCTGTGCTGCTCTGCATTGGACCCAGCTGAGTATGGACTGAAACCTCCAGTAACTGTGAGCTAAATAAACCTTTCCTTCCTTCATTTTGTGTGTCGGGTATTTGTCCCAGCAACGAGAGAACAGTAACTAAGTAACAGTAACAGTTTGCTAAAATATTCCATTATATTATTTTACTTGAAGTACTTTCAAATATCTGTAATATAGATATTTATTTTTAAGGCTTCCAGATAACAAAGCATTCCATTGTATGACCCTACACATGTTAATATTTTTGACGCCTAAAGACATGAACCTTGTAAGGTTGATGTACTAGAAATGAATGTGAAGCACAGAGAAGTAACTGAACCACAGTATGAGGTTTACTGAATAGCAACTGTTGCTGGTATCTTGGTAGCACTCAGGAGAGCCTGACATTTAGTGTAATTTGAACTTCTTTGCAAAATTAATAGTCAAGGTATTATCTATACAAAATAACAAATGATTTTATTTTTTTAAAACATCAATGATGTTTCTTTAACTTTCATTCTTTCAACAATGTAACAAATATTCCTGAAAACTTTACTTAAGACTGACTTAAGGTTCTACAATCATTTCTTTTTAATATCCCTAAAGGGATATAAATCTGATCCACTGAAGCATGGATTTCATTTTTGGACATTTTACATCATTCTAGTCAATTCCAGTGGGTAAGCAAACTGTGAAACACCAGCCTGCAACAAAAACTAGATGGGTTGTGTTATGACCTACTAGAAATAATATAAAGGATGATTCTTTCATCATTGTGTATTTCAAGAAAATTCACTTATGCAGCTTGTTTTCTTTTCAACTTAATAGTTTCTATTTTCATACTTACCGATGCATTACTGCTGTTGCTGGGTGCACTGAAAGGGTCAGTACCTGAAGTAGCAAAAGGGTCAGTAGAAGACTGCTTGAAGAAATAGTCAGATGCAAAGGGATCTGAACCTTTGAATGGATCACCACCAAATGGGTCTAAGAAAAGAAAACACATATATAAGAGACTAAAAAATTACATTATCATTGCTTTAATTAAAAGGTATTTTAAATCATACATTCTTTTTATTTCACAGATTCCTCTGTAATTTTGATAAGAAACATATAATCCTTTTCTTGCAAAACTTATTTTTTAAAATGACATGTAACTTTATGGAATCTATATCCCTGGGGATCAAATTCAGGGCATGAATGCTATTCAAGCTCTCTACCACTGGGCTATACCTTCTGCCCCAGGGATTCAATGTTAAGTCTTCTGCTATCATAGCTAGACAACAAAAAATTTTTTTCCATCTGACATTCAGGCTAACAGCCAGAACTTTGGGAAGTAAAACTAAATAGTACAGAAGATTTGCTTTATTTTAATAATAAAAAAAAAAAATTCAAGAAAAGATGTCTCTTTTATGGAGCATGTGCATGCCAGGAATTGAACTCTGGACTTTATGCTTGCAGGCAGGTGCTGCTCCACTGAGCTAAACTCCTTGACCCTAGAAATATTTATTTATTTGGTTGTTACAGGGTTTCACTATGCAGCTCAGACTAATAGTGATCCTCTTGCTTTCAGCCTCCCCAGCACTGGGATTACAGGTGTGTGGCACTACACCCGGACTCTGTGGCCAGTTCAGCCTGCCCTGGGGACAGGACTGGCATGGCATGTGGTGCCGGGGACCAAACTGTGGTCTCTGTGCTTGCATAAGCAGGTGCTTTAGTCCACTGAGCTGTCTTGCTGCCCCCTAGAAATATTTTTTAAAATCTCAACAATTCTTCAGGATGTTTCTTTTTCTTCATTTGTACAAAAGGACTATAATCTTAGGAAAATAAAATGAGCTTCTGAGATTGTAGTAGTATGTAGATTACACTCACCTAACTTTTAGTGAATAAGCAGAAATTATAGCCAATGTGACTGAAAGCAATATTATTACTTCTTACCACAGTGATGCTGGGGCTGGGGCTCGGCTCAGTGATAAAAGCACTTTTTGTTTGTAGGACAGGGTCTATCTAAATTTGTGACTCTCCTGTCTCAGTCTCCCAAGCAGCTAAATGGTAGAGCACTTTTCTAGGATGTATGAAAGCCCTGGGTTTTATCCCTCACCACCAATACAGTAACAAAATAGTAAGGCTAAAAAGTTATTACGTGAATTTAAAGGAATCTGCCACCCTCTTTCTTAAACTACCAGGAACATAAAGCATCATATCACAGCTTTACAGCAGTTCCAAAATCAAAACAGAAACCCATTTCCCAACTTGTGGTATCTCATTACTAACTAGTACATAAGCACAATCAAATTAAAGTGAGGATGAAAAACCAGTGATATACTGACCAGCCAGGCATGGTGGCACCTGCCTGTAATCCCAGCACTTGGGAGGCTGAGGCAGTATTGCCATAGTTTGAGACCAGTCTGGGTTACACAAGTGAGTTCAAGGGCAGCCTGAAATATGCAGGGAGATTCAGTCTTTAAAAAAAAAAAAAATACTAACCTATTTTCCCAAAAGGATCATCTTTGAAAGGATCACCTGTGATAAGCAGAAATCAACAAACAATATTTACTATTACGGTACCATTACCTACAAATATTCTTAGTTTCAGTGACTCTACCTCAAAACAAACTATGAATGGGACCATCTAACTTAGGATATTTAAAATAACAAAGAATAAAGGCTGAACTCAACACACCTCATACAAGAGGCAAGTTTGAAATATAGCCAACTATATTTACCTTGATCACAAGAAGAGGTTACAAAAAGGGGAAGACAAAAAACTGTATTTAAAAATGTCTACTCTTTACAAGAGTACTATAACTATTTTATAGAAATAAAGATGCTGAATTTCACTGAGGCAAAATAAAAAAAAAACGAAACTCTGAATTGAAAAATCTAGGGGTAAAGAGTCTAGGAGTCTATACTTATGGTCTTTTGATTTTTGACAAGAATACAAAGAATACACAATAAGGAAAGTATAGCTTTTCAACAGATGGCATTGAGACACCAGGTTTTCTCTTTTTTAAAGTACCAGGCACATAAAGCATCATACCTTGGCTTTAGAACAGTTTCAAAACCAAAAAAAGAAACCCCTTTCCTATGGTTTCCCAATTTGTGATGCCTTATTCCTAACTGCCACAAAAGCATAACCAAATAAATCAAAGATGGAAAATCAGTAATATACTGACCACCCAGGTATGGCGGTACATGCCTGTAATCCTACCACTTAGGAGGCTGAGGCAGGAGGATCGCCATGAGTTTGAGGCTAGCCTTAGTTATATAAGCGAGTTTACAGCCAGTCTGAAGATTTCTACCTCACAGCACATATAAAACTGGACTAAATATGTAAATGGAACAGCTAAAACTGTAAAACTTAGAAAATCAGAAGTAAATCTGGGGGGTGGGGAAATTAAAAAAAAAAAGTAAATCTGTGTGACTCTAAATTAAGTGATAGTTTCTTAGATGATACCAAAAGCATAAATCATAGAAGAAAAAATAGAAAAATTGAACTTATAATTACTTTGTACTTGACAGTAAAAATCATGAATATAACACAGGAAATGTCAAAACATCAAGAATATAACACAATTCACATATTTGATAGGTGTTACAGTTTGTGTCTAGTTGTCCCCCTCAAAGCCTCATGCAGTCATGGGGTGGGGACTTCTACATTTTGAGATTAACTCATGACCCACTGGGATCATGGGTCTTAGTACTGTTGGGATTATGGCTGCAAGTGCTACACTCAGCCTGAGGTGGATAGCCTGAATGTAACATAAGAGAGATAGAGAGATAGACTTCCTCTCTATTGCCATTGTTGCTGTTGCTACTTCTTTTTTTTTTTTTTTTTTTTCGGAACCAGGGATTGAACTCAGGCCCCTGCGCTTGCCAGGGAAGCACTTATTCTACTGAACCATCTCCCCTGCCCCCACTTCTTTGCTCTTTGCAGCCGCCATGAAAGGTTATTGAGTGCCATGTGCCAATCTGACTTGGAACCAGCCAAGTATGGACTGAAACTTCTAGTAACTGTGAGCTAAATAAATCTTTGCTTTCTTCATTTTGGGTGTTGGATATTTGTCCCAGCATTGACAACAGAGTAACTGAGACGATACGTGAATTATACTTAGAATACATAAAAAGCTGCTATAAATCAACAATAAAAAGACCATTATAAAGTAGGCATGACAATTTCATGTTTAACACTGTGTGTTCTTTGTTTCTCTTGAATATATAAAATTATATAGTAATTCTACATTTAATTGGTAGAGGAACTGCCATACACTTTTCCAGAGAGATTATTTTACATGCCTACCACAAATCTACAGGGGTTGCAAGTTCTATGTATCCTTCCCAACACTTATTACCTATCCTTTTGCTTAAGCAATGCAGTAGATATGAAATGGTATCTCATTTTGAGTCTGAGTAATATTGAATATCTTTCTTTGTGCTCACTGGTAATTTGTATATTTAGAAAAATGTTTAAATCAGTTTGCCTATTTTAAATTACAAAGACTGCTACTGAATACAGAGTTTCCTTACAGGGTAATAAAAACTATTTCTTCGCACGCCTGTATACCAGCACTTGGGAGGCTGAAAACAGGAGAATCACTACAAGTATAATTTGTGGACTTGAACCTGAACTAAACACATAAAAAAACCTACTTCTAAATTAGATTGTGGTGATGAATATACTAAAACTATCAAATTGTACATTTTATCACTATCATCATCATTATTGTTATTTGTAGTGTATCCAATCTTTAGTAATGATCTATTTCAGTGGTGGCAAACCTATGGCATGTGTGTTGTATTCTTTTAAGACAAAAGATGTTATAGTATGAGTCGTATTTTCTAAACTAAAACCTCAGTATTACAGTTTAACTATAATAAACAAGTGAGTTTAAAGTTGTAGTTTGGGCATTCATCTCTGAAAGGTTTGACATCACTGGTCTATAATATACATCTCTTTCCTTTGGCCCCTATTCTTCAAGAGAAATATACTCTTAATCAGGGTCTCTTTAGCCATAGTCAAAGACTCAGTTCTAGGATTTAGTCGCCTGTGGAGGACAAATACTAGCAAGTTAAAAAACAAATTCTTACTCTCATCTATTGTAAGAAGTATGCTTTCAAAACTGAAGCCCTAGCTTGTACATTAAAAAGTATTTCTGGTTAAAGATATAAAAAGATACTTACTGCCAACAAAAGGATCAGACTGGAAAAAATCCATGTTTGTATCTGTAACTGGATCTGTCAGTGAACTTGATTCTACATTAAATGGATCTTCCTAAAAACATTTTCAAATTGAAAAATTATTTAGGAACCGAAGTCTTAAAAAATAACATTTTAAAATAATCTATATTCAGATTCATACTCTGAAAAATGAACAAAAATTTTTAGTAATCATACAGAATCCTTAACATAGTAGTGCTAAGAATATTTACACATAAATTTATTTTACCTCTTTTGTATGTCTGTCACTGTCAACTTCAGGACAAACTTTTTCATTAACAGCTATAGTCACCACTTCATTTTCATCAGTCACATCAGAAGGTGGTATTTCAGGACTACTTCTTGCCTATGAAAACACACACACACACACACACACACACACACACACACACACTCTTTTAGCACAAATGATGCTGAGAATCAAAGCCAGGATCTCAAGCATGCTAGATGAGCACTCTATCCACTAAGCAATACCCTCAGCCCTGCCTGTATTAATACTACATAGAATAAGAATAATCCTTTTCCATTTAGTGGAGGAAACTGACAAAAGAAAATTAAAAACTCTCAAAAATAAGAAAAAGGCAAGCATAATGATTCATTGAATCATTTCTTCCTTATAATCTTTTCTTTAGGAAGATGGTGTCACCAAGCATCAAAGTCACTAAGCTAGAAGTCATAAGGTCATCTATTACCACTTCCATTTTCATTACCCCTGGTTAGAGAATGACTCCAAATCTTACTAAGTGTGCTTTTTAGCCTCTTTCTCAAATTTTTACCTTCTCTATCCTCACTGTTATTATCATCCATTTACCATATAATCATCTCTGGCCCAGGCTCCCTGCATCTAACATAGCCTTACACAGCTAAGGTTAACTGATTTCAAGGCTGAATCTTACTGTTACCCCTTGGGTTAAAAGTTTTTCAGTGCTCTTCATTGTTTCCTTGATGTAAATCACTAGTACAAAGGCTTAAAAAGTGAGGTAATCTCCATTTCATACCATGCTATTGTGTTTGAAGGATAACCCATGATCTATCTGCCTTTTGTGGTTGAAAGAGAATAATATATCTGAATGTACTAACTAAATACAATGAAGCCCATAAACTTTTAATCTTGAATGCCCTTCAAACTTGTTATTTTGTCCTCCTCCCTCCTATAACTTTTTAAATTTAAGCTACAACACTCATACAGAGTGTTTCAATAGCCTCTCAACATATTTCTATGTGTAACATGCACTTTTCAATTCATTTCCAACATTTCTGAAAGGTAAATTTCATTTTAAAATTGTTTAAAATTCTTCAATGGCTGCTCCCCGCAGTAAACCTTTATCACAGTGTCATACTGCTAGATTCTGCTGCTTTTGTCTCCTTAGCCTCCACACACATTCAACACCATGTAGCTGGCATGCCATATAATACCCGGTAAAACAAGGTAGCCTCAGTGACATGAGACCTCTCAGGAGGCCCCACATCCTACAGATTCTACTACCTACTTGGAGCACCACACTCTGAGGACTAAGCCTTTATCTGGGCTTTAGGGGACACTGATTCAAATCACATAGTTATTTACCCACACAATGGAATACTGCCTAGCTTTATGATTCATGTCACAAGGATGACCCTACTGGCCAAGGATATAGTTCAGCGGCCTGCCTGGCAAGTATGAGATCCTAAACTCGACTCTTGATACCCCCGCAACACCCTCCCCCCAAAAAAAGGACGACCCTATGAAACATGATTATAAGTGAAAGAAGCCCGTCATAAAAAGATAAATGCCCTTAACATTATGAAATAAAGAATTACTTTCCACTTAAGGGAAAATATATTAAAAGCTTGTTTCAAATAGTTTTGCTTTTTAAAGACAGGGTCTTCTTATACAGGTCAGGCCAGCCTTGAATTCATTACATAGCCTCAAACTCATGATCTTCCTGCCTCAGTCTCCTGAGTCCAGACATATGCCACCATGCTTGCCTTTTTTTAATTTTTGCTTTGTGGTGCTGAAGATTGAAGGCAGGGTCTCGTATGCTAGGCCAACTATCTATCAGAGTTATAGCTCTGGCTCCTTAAAGGAAAAAAAAAATCTTTAAAGAATTTATTAGCTAAGGTGCAGCAGCAAGTGCCTACTATTCCAGCGACTTGAGTGGCTGAGGCAGGAGTATCACTTGAGCCCAATAGTTCAAGACCAGACTTAGCAACACAGTAAGTCTCATCTTAAAAAAATAAGTTATTTTCTACATAAAATATTCATTTTATTATTTATTTAATTTATTTTTGTATTTAAGACAGGATCTACAGGGTCTCACTGTGTAGACTGAACTCATAATGATCCTCCTGTTTACAGCCTCCCAAGTGCTGGTATTACAGGTGCCATGCCACCACGCCCAGTCTCATTCAACTTCTCAGCGCACCCTGGGGGGCAGGGCTGGTACAGCAGGCCTGGGGATTGAACAGGTGCTTCAATCTGCTGAGCCCTATAGAAAATATTTTAAACAGGCTAGTTGAAACTGTTAGTTACTAGATCTTAAAAGATTTACTCCCTGTCTTTAAAAAAGAAATTGCAAACATCTTTAGATAAGGCCTGGTAACATTTACATTAGGTATGGTAACATCTGTATTAGGTATAATGCCAAAACCTTTCTTCATAACAGATTTTTTTTTTCTGAAGTTGATGATGAAGAACATAAAACTACTAGACTCACTGGAGACTCCTGGTGTATGGGCTCAGACTCTAGATTGCTCTGGCCTTCAGCAGGTTCATTAAGGTTGGCTGCTTCACTGCTGCTGGTGCTGAGGCTGCAATAATCTGTAGCGCCATTTACAAGAACACTATGTGGGCTACTGCACCAATTCAATTCACTGTTGTGATTTTCTAGATCTTTTATTTCCATCAGTCTCATTTGCATCTGTCAACCGAAGCAGAAATATAAAATTATTATCAGAAAGACACACAATATAAAAATAGCTATACCCCTAGACTTGGTCAAGGATAAATTTACTTCCTGTTAGGAGAATCCTCCAGGAATATAACATGACTTAGATTCAGTAATCTCTCCCCACAGGTTATCTTGAAATTACAGTATATATGGATTTGTTTTTATACATGTTTTGAAATTTCCAAGAATTCTGACTTAGGTATGTGAAAATTGGTAGTCCTTTAGGGTACAACTGGAAAAAGAAGGGTAAGGGTACCCAAAAGAAGGGAAATTCTGTGATGAAGCTTTAGGAGAGATATAAAAGTTGTGGGAGAGTCCATATGGCTCTGGAACATACTGAGAAAAGGGGAGTGAAGACAAAGATAAAATGAGCTACTGTCTTATCTCTGGCACTATGTTAATGGATTAGAATCCTAAAAAGTATTCTCTAAACCCCATCTATGTCAAGCATAATAAATACAAGATGCTTGGTTTTGTTTTGTTTTGCCTCACTATCCAAAGGAATTTATACTCCTGAAATAGTGAGACACAGAAAGCAGAATTCAGTAAGCTGTAATATAATTAAAAAGCAAGATGTTAGGGCCAGCCAGATAGTTCAGCAGATTAAAGCATCTGCTTAGGCAGACACAGGGACTGGGTGTTCGATCTCCCACCCCCGGGGCGCACTGAGACAGCGAATGAGACTGAGCATGGTTGCCTGTGCCTGTAATCCCAGCACTTGGGAGGATGAAAAACAGGAAGGATCATTATGAGTCCAATCTGGATCTGTGTAGTGAGACCCTGCAGACCCTGTACTAAATACATTAAAAATAAATAAGTAAAGCATATAGTCTCCCTAGTAGAAGAACTCCAAAGAAGAAATAAAAATAGAAAGGTATAACACAATTAAAAGCAAAGCGAGAACTTCAGGATTAGACAAAAGAGGGCAAGGAGAAAAGCTAAGAAACATGACAGGGGCAAAGCCATACATCTATATGCACAAGACGGGTAAGGCAATGATCCTGAGAATCTTCAGCATGTTTTTGAAGTTAGCAGTTAATTGGTAGGATTCTCACTCTAACTATATCTGTTGATACCTGTGAACTAAGCAACTGCACTGAAGATAGCAATGTGTAACGGTAGGGTCATGCTTGGAATGCCTGTCATTCTGGTCTTCTAAATACGTACTGTTTGTCATGACATACCAATTACTGCCATACTGCCTCTCAAGTAAATGGTTGTTTAAAAAAAAAGAAAAAGTAATAAATGAAAACAAGAGACAAGAAAAAAAAGCCAAAGGACTGTCCTGCTACAATGCTGTATATGGTTAGATTTCTAAATTTCTGTGTAAAAATATGTAACTGTTTATTTCTGTTCTTTAAATTTTTATTTTTTCTTCATATTCTGTAGGGACTTAAAGTTTAACATATCAATACTTGATGGAAAATACCTGCTACATGTTATGCCTAAGATGTTTGATATTCGGATAGATAGGTTAAGCTCAACAGCTTATATTGTAGGGTAATAATAATAAGCTTCTCTTCTGGAGGGTTAACAACCTATGTTTGCAGACCAAAAATTAGGGAAAAATGTTGGCAAGGAAAGCCAACATTTTTGCCCTAGCCTTTCAAGGTCAGTGAAGACTCAGGACATAGGAGAACCTGTACTGTAACATCATGTAACTCAGTTGTGCTCCAAATTTTCTGATCAAGGAGATTATGGAGCCACAGAGGAAAGTAATCAATGATGTAGAGTGTGCCTAAGGAGAGTCACATGGAGAGAAAAACATTCTCAGGCTTTTGCAGAGAGTAAACTGGTCAAGCAATGGCCGTGATTCATCCACATGGCTGACAATGACAAAGGGTCTACAAACTGCAGTACAGGGTTTCAGGATAAATCCTAAGGGGATTTGACTCACCTTCTCAGATATAAAAGTTACATTTCTTGTTATATAGGTCTTGTTTTATGTTGGTCTTAACCATCCAGCAGAAAAGTATACAAACTAAGTATAAAAAGTAAAGCCATATTAATATGCTGAGTTGTAAAAGGCTCAAGTCAACAACTTTTGACATTGTCAGTCTTATGGAAAACCCACTACTATTATGGACTACCGGACTATATTGGAATATTTTCCTGAATTCACATACCTACAATATTTAAATGACAATGGAATACCCTTCTCTGACAAAACTTAACAAAATAGGGGGATACAAATGAACCATCATTTTGTATCTGTATATTCAAAATAGGATAGATATACAGCTGCATTCCCTTAATTCAATGAATAGAGAGATTTCTTCTAATAGTGTTTGTGGACAGGATATCATGTCTGCATCTTGTACAATGAATAACCACTAAGACAACAAAATGCAACGTATTAATTATTGAAATTGTGCTAGTAATTGGTTTTGACAGTCTCACTGCTATTTATTTCTCAATAAAATTATTTTAAAAATAATAAAGCAAGATGTTATAGACTAGAGACAGGAAAAAAATCTTAATACTAACATCTGTCTGTAATTAAGAAAACAAATTTAGACTGGCTAGAGAGCTCAGCGGACTAAAGCACTTGTTGAGGCTGAGTGTAATGGCTGGGCTCAATCCCCAGTGTGCTGTGCCAGCCCTGCCATGGGGTGCACTGAGACTGAGATTGAGGTTGGGCATGGTGGTACGTGCCTGCAATCCTAGCACTTGGGAGGCTGAACACAGACAGATCACTATGAGTCTGATGTAAATAGTGAGACCCTGTACTAAAATACAAAAAAAAAAAAAAAAAAGTTAAAAATCTTGAGTTCTTCCAGGATAGGGACTACAAATTTTGTTGGTGGTATGTCTAGAAGTGTATATAGCTCCAATATCAACCACAATGGTACCTGCTATAAGTGTTTACTATATTGCAATGAATAAATTCTAATACTGTGCTTATAAATTTAAGCAGTAGGCATAAATAATCATAGGCATATCAACCAAACTACATTGTATTTTGGGATTAAATATGTATTTGTAACACACAACATAAACCCTGTATATAAACTTTTAGTTATTTATTTTTAATGTATTTAGTACAGGGTCTAGAGGGTCTCATTACACAGATTGGACATAGTAATCCTCCTGTTTTCAGCCTCCCAAGTGCTGGGATTATAGGCGCATGCCACCACGCCCAGTCTCAATCAACATCTCAGCAAGCCCTGGGGTAGGGCCAGCAAGACACTCTGTATGGAATCCAGTCTCTGTGTCTTCCTATTCAAGCACTTTAATCTGCTGAGCTATCTGGCCGGCCCTTTACTTTTAACCCACAATAGAAATCAATTACGCATTCTAATCTAGTAAATGTATATGCATATACTTGAATGTATCTTTATGTATATCAATACGCATATACTATATACATGTCATATATATATGATATATGTGTACAACTACATATACACAATACATGTATATACAATAGTGAAACAAATCTTACTACATGGAATGCACACTGGTTCCTCCAATCCCTTGCTTTGTGGTGCTAAGAATCAAATCCAGGGCCTCATGGATGCTAGCCAAGTGCTCTATCACTGAGTTATTCCCTTGTCCCTCTATTTCATTTTTTTTTTATTTATTTATTTTTATTTATTACATTTATTTATTGTGTGTGTGTGTGGCCAGCTCAGCCCACCAGGGGGCGGGTCTGGCTGGCATGTGGTGCTGGGGATCGAACCGCGGTCCCTGTGCTTTAGCCAAGCTTGTTTCAAGTAGGTGCTTTAGACCACTGAGCCATCTCTCCAGCCCCTCTATTTCATTTTTTAAAATAAAATTTTATCATGAGCGTAAATCAACTGAATGATCCACTACAACTTTAAAATCTTGAAACTGAAGATTTCCCTGAAGCAATAAAGGGAAAAAATTAAGTATCAAAATGATTTAGAAAGATCAATTCTTATTCTTATGCCTGAGACAATGAAGAGACTCTTGACCAAAACTAGGCTCCTGTATGGCTCACAAACACTGCTTTATTTTTTCAATATGATTTGTAACATCTAGAGCCATTTCTTCTTCACTTACGCTTGTGCTTTCTTCTAAAAGTAGTCCCCTTTCAAAGAAAGAAAAATGAAGACAAACTATAGCTTGATAGAAAATATAAACTATTCATCTGATAAATATCATTTGTTATTTCCAGAACATACAGAAAAATCTTATAATAAGAGACAACTCAGTTTTTTAAATGAGCAAAAGATATAAACAGACATTTCATCCAAGAAAATAAACAAATGGAAAGATACTACTCAACAAATGAAAACTGATGACTTCATATTTGGGAAATGTAAATTCAACACTATGTGATACATATCACTTTCCACCTACTAGAATGACTACAAATCTAAGAGTGATAATGTGAGGAAGCTCAAACTGTCATAATATTGCTGGAAGAATATAAAATGCTACAGCTTCTTTGAAAAAGTTTGATAATTTAAAATTAAAAAGAAACTCACAGGTCAACAATTTCTGACATTGCCAGTGAAGCGAAGACCCAATACTATTATGGGCTACTGGACTCTTTTAGAATAGTTTACAGAGTTTACACACCTATAATATTCAAATAACAGAACTTAACCAAAAAAGGGCATACAGATGAGTGTCCATTTTGTATCTGTGTATTCAAAGTGGTTAGGATAGATATACAGTTACATTCTCTTAATGAATAGAGCGATTTGTTCTAATGATGTTTCTAAACAGGATATCATGTCCATATCTTGTACAGCAATTAACCACTAGGAAGAGTGTATGCAATGTGTGAATTATTGAAACTGTCCTACCAATTTGATTTGAAACTGTCTCATTACTATTTGTTTATCAATAAAATTATGGGAAAAATAAAAAAAATAAAAGATATATTAGATGAACCCTTAAAAGAAAAAAAAGAAACTCAAATATAAAGTTATAAGATGACCAACTACTGACTGGCAAGCATGAGGTTCTCAGTTTGATTCCCAGTACAAAAAAAAAAA